GTCATTAACCCTTTTAGGGTCAACTAACCATGCTGCTTTGAAGCAAGACAGTGGCTGTGACAGATTATCTGCATTTGCAAAGGTGTCCAGAAAGTAGTTAAATCCTGGCTGGACACACTGACAAGCATAATCTTGCCACTGTTCTTGGTCGCGTTGATCTGGACCATCTGTGGCAGCTAATTCAGAGGAAATCTGTGTTACATTTGGCATGTGCATCAATCTCACACAGTTTTCAAGTTCGATGATAGCATCATAAGCTTCCAGTACCAAAGGACCGTCCCCTTCGAGGCTGTATGTCTTCTTCACAAATGGTTCACCTGCATCAACAGTTGCTGCGATCTCTATCTTCAGCTTGGCTTCAGAGTTTGCGATTATGTCCAGTAGCTTCCTTGTTGTGGCTGGAGCAGTGCCAGTATCCCTATTTGCAGTCAGGAAGGCTGTGACATGGGGGTAGAAAAGGAATAAGTCCTGTTTAATGCATTCCCATTGGCTCCACCATCTTGTTGGTGAGTACGTCGTGAGACTTTTTCCAGTACGATCTTTCCACAGAAGTTTGGCATGTGGTGAGTGTGCAAATAGTGAGACCCAGTGCTTGATGAATTTGGTGAGAACAGGAGTATCGAACTTCTCTCCCACATGATCAAGAGTGTGAGAAAAGCAACCAATATCTAGAATATTGGGGAAAATCACCTTAATAGTTCTCACTGCTACATTGTTAACACTGGCCCTATCACGCATAGTAGCAACCGGTAGCTCTGTGGCAACACATACTCTCTGGCAAGAACACTGATGATCTCCCTTGCAACTTCTTCTCCTGCTAAAGATTTAGCAAGCAAGAGAAATCGCAAAAGCCTCTGTTGGATTTTCCACTCACTGTCGAGGAATCTAACAATAATAACTAATGCTTCTCCTAGCCTGGTGGTACCATCAAACACAATCGATATCTCTCTTCCTGTCAGTTCTTCAAGAGTGTTTTTTTTCTCCTCCTGGTGTACCACGGGAATCAGCTGGGCCATGTTTGTTCGATCTGTCAGTTTATAAGCTGACTCTTCTAAGATACTTCTGAAGCAATTTATCTTATTAATGGCTATTCCAGCCTTCATGAAGGCTGTTACAACTTTAAGACGAAATACTCTGGTATTCATACTCAATGTTTCCCCTATCGGATGGTTTTCTTCGTCATATGCGCGTAGAACTTCTGCCAGATCTCTCTCACGTTTTGCCTTTTGGTGTAATTTCTCTTTTCCAGACAGATGTTTGTGAGTGTTTATATGATTTATGATAGTTGATCTCTTAACTGATATTTCTTCGCGACATGCTTCACAAAAAAATGCTCCCTTGCGAATCGCAGTATCCTTGAAGCATTCTTGTGGAAATTCTTGGATTCTTACAGCTACAGAAACATTTGGGGCAGTTGAAGTCTTAGCATGTACAATGCGAGTTTGATGTTTGCGTGGATTAACATTGACTTTACGTTTACGAGCCAGGTCTGACTTTCTGGGAGCTCTTAATAAAGTCAAAGCATTGACAACCAACTCATTATTTCCTTGTCCTTGCCCCTCTTGAACCTCTTCGCCATCTTCATCGTCGTCAAACTCGCCGTCGTCGTCGACAATGACCATGTTTTCGTTATTCTCATCTCGATCCGCCATCTTTGTTTACTAATTACTAGTGCCCGGCCCCCCGGGCACGAATAATTAGTAAACAAAGTTAGAAATTTCTTTTAATTTCTTTTTTCAAAATTAGAAATTTCTTTCCAAATTTTTCTGGCCAAAGACGAAACTATTATTTTTTTAACATTATGCCGGAATTAATAGCATTATGCCGCATTATGCTCGCAATGCTCGAAAGTGCTCATTATGCTCCTGAAGACCTATTATGCTCGAAATTATGCCGGCATAATTTATCCAGGCCTACCAAGGCCAGGCCAATTAAGGCTAGGCCAAGGCTTGTAGTGTAAACACGACTTATGTCTTCGTCGAACATTTTAAAAAACATTTACTGCTCTATTTCTAGCGTAGGCAGAAAATATTGCGTCAGATTTACTGCTCTTTGACGACCCCTAGCTAGGACAATTTATCACAGTCTTCACAGACACAGTACTTTAAGACCAAACCTCAGCCCAAACCAGAGCAATGACGTGGCCTATTAAATGCCTACCATATAATATTGAACACAGTGTAGAACCAATTTACCATTGTCCATTTTTAACAGTTCTTACCTGTGCTTTAGCATCTAGTATTTGTTGTTCATAAACATTCATGTTATCCATGACAATACCCAATGCCTCTTGTCTTGTGGGGACATCTGTTTTATTCTTCAAGCTCAAAAATGCATGTTCGTACACTGCTGCAATGAACTGCGGATCAGACGCATCTGCGACACACCACACAAAAAACGTAGTTAATAGTAATTTCATCTTCTTTCTCTACTAGTCAGGGTAAATAATTGAAATAAGTAATGCGTGGTCATTTGCGTCGAAATTGCGTGGCATGTGATACTTTGGCCTTGGTCATGTCATGTGAAAAACAAATTTTGGTAAACTAGCTATCAGGCCAATCAGAGAGTCATATTGTTTCTGTTTTCCTGTTTTTACAGATGTCTGAGTTTTCATATTTCCAAGCTATATTTCCAAGGAATTAAGATCGTCCCGGGGGAAGGGCATGTTTTTTTTTTGGGGGGGGGGCATATTTCCTGTTACTACATCCAACATGGCGTCCCAATGCAGCGTGTTTTGAGAACATTTTATGATATATATGTAAAAAAAGTCTATTATTTTCTAATCTAACCTGTATTGAACGATGAAGGTCAAAGGAAATAAGAAGAGATCAGGTAATGGCCCTAAAAATTTTAAATTGAAAAGTGTTAAAAAGCCAGGCGGGTTTAGAAAGGGCAAGAAATCTAAAGCGACTTTAAAACGTGAATCTACTGCTATAAATGCTGATGACAGTACTGTTCCTGAACGAAAGGAAAAGAAGGATACCAAGAAATATGCTAGATTTAAAGGGGGAAAGAAGAATAGTGAATCTAAAGGAAAAAAGAGTTCAGAGTTGCCTGGCTCTGATCATAAAAGAAAGGCAGAAGATGACAGTGGTCAAGTTAAAAAGAAGCTACGAGTTAAGAAAGAGGATGAAGTACAAACAAGATTGGACAGGAAAGAGCTTAAAGTTGCAAGAAGGAAAAGGAAACAGAATTATGAACTGACAGTGTCATTGATAAAAAAATATGATGGCCTGAGAAGGTATGTTAGGGGCCGTCGACAATTAGGCCTAACTGGAAAGTTGGGAAATTGTGCGCCGGAGATTTCGAAAATTTAATAGTAAATATATAGAAAGCATCAAAATTGCCCGCCGGAGATATCTGCCGCGCGATACAAACTTTCCATACTGGCAATTAGGTTTCGTCAAGCTTAACGGCAAATTGGCCGCTAAGAGGGGAGGGGGTCTTGGTCAAAGCCGTTAAAAATGTTTTTCCATGACGAAAACTCATTTAATAATTTAATATTTCGTCTTCTTGACAAGCGACTTGTCAAACGTTGCATGCAACAATAAATTAAAATCCATTTTTGGGGTACTGCCTTTTCCAAATCTGTGATTGTACACAGTGAATAAGGGATTTGTATAACTATAATTATCAGTTAATTTACAGTTAAATATTGGGTGATTCCAGAAAACATCCATACCTCCCCCACAGAGGAAATTGAATGTTAACCCCTCTTCCTCTTTCGGATGTCCTAATTCAATTACTATTATAAGAAACAAATTTTTCTGCCCTCCCCTTCCAGACAGCAGACATTTTCTCTGTAGGGAGAGTGTGGATCTTTTCTGAAATGACCCATTTGTAAAAATGTTTTCACATCACTTACTTAGATTTTTCATGCCGTTTTCAAAAAAGTACCCCCAAAATTATAATAATTTGAAACACCGCCATCCCTCCCCTGGGTATTCCCGAGAGAACAAACAAGTCGAATAATTTCGCACAATTGTAATAAATACCTTCAAAAATGGTGCACAGCTTTTTAAATGCTTTGTAGCCAGTCTCTTACAAACCTAAATCCTGTCGAACACTCTGCTGCCATCATGAGACCTGCCAAGGTCCAACAGCAACGAATCTGGAGATCTGATAGAAAATTTCTTGAGATTGATCTCTTATTTCTGGAGATAAAATACTGAAAATCTGGGGTCATTCTGGATAAGACAATTACTGTAATCATTGCCTATAGATGCCTGATCTATGTTCTGTGACCAGACATAGCAATTTTTAATTACTGTCCTCCAAAATAAAACTTTAACTCAACAGTTTACTTACAAATTCAACCCGGTCTTAGTCTATACATGTGTATCTTACTAATTCAGGATACTATTCCAATTTTTATCCTGGCCACACAACCCTGTTGAGGAACCTTGGAATTCCAGAGGAAGGGGATGATTTTCAGCCACTGACCTGCATTTTCAACCTTGGAAATTCCTAGCAGGGGGTAAAAATCAAGTTCCTCAATGTGGACTGATGTGAATATAAAACAGAAATAGCCCATTGGCTGATTTGAGAAGTTTCTGCTTCCGCCATTTTCTTGCAGTATATTTCCCGCTCTGTGCCGGCCGGCGATTCAAAATGGCAGAGTACTTAGACTGTTACTTAGTATAAATGAGTAAATAAATACTAATAGTGTTGGGGATTTTTTACAAATTAGAATTATGGTCAATGGCTAGTTTTATTTCACATCAGTCATTCCCATTTTAAAGTCTACATTGTAGTGGTGGTTAAAATTTCAAAATCGTGAATCTGTGAGATTTGAAAATATTTCCGTGACTCCGTGAGAAAGTGCCTGAATTCGTGAGTCACATGGGAAATCTGTGAGAGTTGGCAGGTCTGCATCATAAAGAAACTGGTTGTTATATTTACAGGGCTCCATGTGCAGGCATTGTACCCAAAATCATGTAAATTTCAAATTCCCTATGTCAAAACATCCCCAGGTTAAAACGTCCCAAAGTCTAGGTCAAAACGTCCCCAGGTCAAAACGTCCCCAAGTCAAAATGTCCCCAGGTCAAAACGTCCCCAAATTTGCAATGTTTTAACAACATTGTCAGAAGTGATAAGGCTGGTTTACATGCACTGTAAAAATTTCTGTGGTCAACCACAGTAATTATTACATGAACTAAATAACTAATACATGAGCTGAATAACTAAGTTCCTTTAACATTCCTCAAAGACAAAAGCACAAAGGTTAGAAACATTAATAACATTCCTCAAACACAAAAGCACAAAGCCAAAGAATAGGCTGTCTCATAAAACATTCCCGCTCAAACACATGGCCAAAGGATAGGATGACTTATAAAAAACATTCTGTAAACACAAAACACAAAAGATAGACTGACAAAATCAATTTTAAAAATCATAAATATCATAAAACCTGAGGCTTAGCACCCATCCGAAATATAAATCCTTTGAACATGTATTTGAATTGATTTAAACACATGGGACGTTTTGACCAATAGAGGTGAGGACGTTTTGACCAGCGGAGATGGGGGCGTTTTGACCAGCGGAGATGGGGGCGTTTTGACTAGTGGAGACGGGGACATTTTGATATGGGGACGTTTTGACCGGATACCGCAAGGTTTCAAATTGATCGATACATTTTAGTTCAAGTAAAAAAGGTTTTTTCAAACGCCACCCTCTTTGTAATTAGAATAATTGGTAATTACTCATATTTTTTGCAATGTTGTGCTCAGGGACGCCGGAATGGTAAAAAGGCAAAGGGGGCAGACGCACACCAAAGGGCACCTCTATAGATCAAAAGTTCGAAATTTACCTGGAAATTTTTACCTCCCCCCCCCTCGCCAAAACAATTTCGGTCAGTGTACCATTTTAGGGGTCAAAAAATTTTTCCGGACATACCAAAATTTTTCGTGACAGAAAAAATTTTTTCTGCACATCAGCAATTTTCTGCATTTATCCAAAAATTTTTCCTAAAATCCAAAAATTTTCTAAAATTTTTGTAAATTAACCTCATTCTTTTCCAAATTCACACTTATTTTTGTAAATTAACTTTCTCTGGGCCTATAAATTACCTGAATCTCAAGATTTTGCCCAAAAAAGCATCACTGGAAATGTGATTTATCAGGTAGTATTTTACAACTAAAAGGGCACTTCTGCCCCCCCCTTGCCCCCCCCTAGCAAAAGGCAAGAGGGGCAGCTGCCCCCCCTGCCCCCCAGTTCCAGCGTCCCTGGTTGTGCTAGTACTGTAGAGTGCAGTATGGTCTGGCATTCAGAATTGAAAATACTCAACTTCAACTCTTCCAGAGCAGACTACACAAGGAAGTAGAGAATACAGTAGCTACAAAAGTGACAAAAATTGTCTCAGCTCATAAATAAAAGAATAATGCTGTTCACATGATATTTTACTTGTCCCGGGACAAGAATTGACCCTAGTTCCTCGCCTCTGTAGACAGGGTGTGAACACTTTGCCCCGGGGCAACTTTGTCCTGGGATAATTGAATTTTTGGTAAAACGATCAAAATCGCGGCTAAAATTACATTTAGAGAACGTTCGACTCCACAAAAACTTGTTAATTGATTGAAGATATCATTAGAAATCTATAAGTAATAATTATAATAATATTAAAATTAAAATTGTCGCTAATATCATGTTTGAAACCAAGAAGTGTAGTATGCTACTCAAAAAAATTGATCTGGTCAACCAGAAACAATGAATTGAGCACATTTTATTACGGCTGATAATCAACTACTGTACGTTCTATTTGTAAATATCATTAACATAAAATACGACTTGCGTTTATCAGAATGTTTTTTATATAGCACTACTTCACCGTTTCACGTTGGCGGGAATATTTTATGATTCCCGCGTAATGTATTTATAGGCATTACCCGGGCTAGCTTTGTTCATGTGAACAGAAGATATCAGTTAATTCCGGGATCATGTGAACAGGGCCTTAGAAATGGCAGGCAAAAACAAATTTGAACTGCCAAAGTAAAAAAAAAATGGCAGGTGAAATTCTATAGATATATTTCATTTCATTTGCTTACCACAACTCATATACTGTATACTAGATACTAGATCATTTAGTTACTGAATACGTTTATATTTGAAATGTTAATCCAAGTTTACTGTAGTAAAATAGACAAGTTTAAAAACACTAAAAATGCACATCATGGAAACATTGATTTTTACAATATCACTCATATGAGACATCACCATTTTGGCATTCAATGAATAAAAATGGCAGGCTAAAATTTATTTCACCTGCCAAAACATTTTAGACTGGTGGCCATATTTTTTCTCTACTTCGAGCCCTGATAATGTCCTGTATCCAATCTTAAAATCTGTTATCCCGTGAATACTGGGATGCTGCAAATTTCAAGCCCTAATACTCCCCGGCCGAATTAGTGGCAGAATCTTCGATCACTACACGTGGAAAACTAAAAAGGACTATCAACGTGAATAACACTGCAACACGTGCAAAAGAAAAAAAAAATGATAAGTCTTGACTAATTTAATAACAGTTACTATAAAATTATCTAGGATGGCCTGAGGTATGCCCGTCCAGCAAGCAGTTACAGCACAACAAAACAAAACAAAACAAAACAAAACAAAACAAAACAAAAC